GGAGCTGTACGGGTTCTACTGAAGCGAAGGGCTCCCGTAACCGAAGCTAGCCGGAGGATCAGCCAAAGCCACTACTGGATCATCCGGCAGCTTTGTGAATAACCCTCTTAGTTTTTATTATAGTAGGGGATGGCTAGAACTAGGGATGCACCGATACCGATACTAGTATCGATATTGGTGCCGATTCCGAGTATTTGGGCAAGTACTCGTACTCGCCCAAATGTTTTCCGATGCCTAGCACGAGTACTTCCGATATCAGGAAGCCGGGCAGCGCGTCATTACACGCTGCCCGGTTTCACAATTAACCGGTAGCTGGCCTCGTGAGGTAAGGTTACCTTACCTTAGTATGTGCAGCCTGTCATCCCCCAGGGCCTCTCCAGCGAGAATGCGGCCTATAAGGCAGGAAGCCGGGCGCTGTCTAATGACGCGACACCCTGCTTTCTGATTGGCCGGGAAGCTGTCTTCATGCTCCCTCGTCATCTCATGACAAGAGAGCATGGAGCTGGCCTCCCAGGCCAATCAGAAAGCAGGGCGCCCGGCTTCCTGATTGGACGGCTCCGGCTGGGTACCGGACGAAGGCCGCGTTCTCGCTGGAGAGGCCCCGGGGGATGACAGGCTGCACATACTAAGATAAGAGGGGACTTTCTTGTTAATCAGGAAGCCAGGTGGCGAGTCATTACACACCACCTGGCTTCCTGAATGGGACTTCCATTACTCGGTAATTGGTATCGGCGAGTACCGAAAAAAAATTATTGGTACTCGGTACCAAAATACCGGTATCGGTGCATCCCTAGCTAGAACCCTTGTCAGTTTTTGGTCTCCATCTTTGTCTTGTTGCAGAGATTTACCTTTCTACTTCCTTCAGTGAAAGTGAATCTCCTTTACAGAGTACAGTGATAATAGCTCTTGCCACCACGGCATTTGGTCATGTGATATCACAGATCATACGACCAATTTTTTTGGGCAAGCATCGCTATAGTTTGCTCCAGCTGTCTGCATCTCTTCTGTATAGTTCTGCCATACTACTTTGTAAAGCTACTGGCTCCATATTAGAGTGCTTCTCATCCTGAACCAACATCTTCGTCTCTCTTGAAGATGCCTGTCCACTGATGCATGGAACCTGGCTTCCATGGTAGCCTTCCAGACCTCCATTTTCCTACTTACTGCAATAATGCAACATATTCAAAATGCTGCACTAAGTACGTTCTTTAAAGACGTTCTTTCCTCACCAGCATGACTGTGCTAAAATGCTCAAATGGGGCAGAGAACAGAAGAAACAGAGTATCTATCTGTCTATCTATCTCTCACCGATCATCTATGTATCCAACCATATTGTACGATGATGGACGTGCAGAGAGTATTTATCTTGGAGGTTTTTGTTTTACTTTTTCAACATTAAGTCCCATCCATCTTCTACACATTCCCTCACAATGTCAGATCCTGATCGGTATTATCACATCTAAACATGATAGATAGAGTACACCACAGACCCGCTTGCAAACTTTGCTAGTTGATTTCTGGTTGGTCTTAGTTTCGGTGTCCTGAAACCCAAGCATTGATACAGTTTATAAGCAGCTATGTGTATGGTCATTGAGTCTAGACTGACCTTTTATATCCTCATTGGTCAACAAAGTTAAAGCACACGGCCCTGGCCCCCCCTTGGCACGGCTTGTCTTTCAAGCGTCGTAGTGTCATGCTACTGTTGAATTTCAGAGCAGGTTGGATGCCCACCATCTCTACACTGGACTTAGCTACCCAGAAGTAGGAGTTGGCTCTCTGAATATAGGACTCTTCAACGTTTCGTAAATCTCCGTTGTGAGGTTTCTTTAAAAATTCTTAAGCTTTTATTATTAGAAGACTATGACCTGTGGTGAAGAATATGGCAACATCCAAAAGGGAAAGGGTCTGAAAAAAAAAACTGCAATGTGATGAATGAGGCTAAAATCAGAAGGTAGACTGGTGAATGCTTCAACACATAGAAGGTGGTTGTGGGGATGTAATTATACACTTATTATACTCGTTCCACAGCATTACAGACCCTCAGGCTGTCCCTGATAGCTGATGACAAGGAGGTCCTTACAAGTGATATTTTATGTTTTGTAATAAACATACCTTTTTATGATTTGGTGGGAAGGTCAGCACCACTCCATACATTATGAAACAAGGGCACTGTGGTGAAACCTCCTCAGGGGGTGGGGTAATGACATGTCCTCACTCTTCAGTCCTCCATGACTTTTGTCATTAGGCCTTCTACATGACAGGGGATATAAACTCTTGTGCCTGCTATGGCTAAATAAAAGTAGGCTCCCCATGTACCCGAGGCTCATAACATGTCCTTAGTTCTCCATGACATTTGTCATTAGGCCTTCTACATGACAGGGGATATAAATGCCTGTGTCTGCTGTGGCTAAATAAAAGAAAATTC